TAAACCCCCCAAAAACCAATAGTCCACACTAATTCTCAACATGCCTATTATCCCGGGTACTGCCAGCAGCCGCGTATAGGAGCGCTGACGTGGCGCTATGACAATAATTTCATCTTAAGTTTTGTTGACACAAAAGTTTCATCGGCTGACTGATGTCGAGGCTTTGCACACACACTCTCCTCCTCGTCCCCCATTCCCTCTCCCCCCTCTTTCCCCTCATCCACCGCCTCTCTCCCCTCCCTCCCACTCTCCCCCTTCTAAAGTAACCTACGCTTAAGTGAATAACAAGAAGAAAATCCGAAGTGTAAACCAAGCATTTGAGTTCGACAAAGACTACACCGTGGCGGACCAGAAGGTCCAGCCACACACCTCTTGAGCTCTAGCATCCGTGAAATTGGAAAGCGAGCAATGATAATCCATTAACCGAGGCCCTGCACTCTCCCTGTAATGCTGCTCCGTCTCCCTGTCCCTCCCTCCTCCTCTCCCTCTCTCCCTCTCTCTCTCCCTCTCCCCCTCTCCCTGCGTTCTCAGGTGAGGTTCGTGAGGATTAGCGGGAATCGTCCTGAAGTGGTTTCATTGAGGAAAAGATGAGGGAACTGGATAACATTTCACTCGCAAAAACGTTTTCAAATTGAACTTGAGAAAACTCCAGTATAGGAACGTTAGCTATAATGAAGATTTAAGTTATTACCTGTTCTGTATTCAGCTATGTTACCTGCAGTTATAGACGAGTGAAGAACTGTGTAAGAGGATTATAGGGAACTGCTACTCAGGTGAATTATGGTGAACTGAACATGGAATCTCGTGGGATATTAGGACGTGAAGGACTTCATGGTATTTATCCATTGCAGAGTCAAGTACTTTAGTCACGTCAAATTGCTTCGTTTGAAGGCCCAATATAGATGCATTCTAGTTGGGTACACAAGCAAGAAGTTTATCAAGAGGATCGTCGAGGACGCCAATGGTAGCACGTGTGAGACATGACAACATCCCATGTAGCACCTTCAGACCATTCCTCCCACACACACACACACACACACACACACACACACACACACACACACACACACACACACACACACACACACACACTAACAGATTAATATATTGTAATAATTAAGAACAGGTCACAATTTATCAATTAGCAGTATCAATAAGGCAAGGCAAAGGAGTTAGTAAAGCAGGACATTGATGGTCATGAGACAGGTCAAGATACAGGACACTGACAGGGGTCACGAGGCAGGTCAAGATGGCGAGGCAGGTCGTAGATGGCGAGGCAGGTCGCCGAGGCAATAAGATGAACACAACGTCTGTGCAAGATGGTCGACCGACCTCTTGACGCCACTCTGCAGACTCCAAGGAGAAATTTACCGTTGTTTAGCGACCTCTCGCCGACTGCTCGCTTAACTTGCGACGGCCGTAATCACGTCCAGGATTGGTCCTTATGCCCTGGGCTCAATTGGCCAGGATTTATTTGTTCTTCTGTGTTTTTGTGTTTAAATCAGTCCCCTGTGTGTGTTTCTTTGTGTGTTTTGTGTTTAAATCAGTCCCCTGTGTGTGTTTTGTGTTTAAATCAGTCCCCTGTGTGTGTTTCTTTGTGTGTTTTGTGTTTAAATCAGTCCCCTGTGTGTGTTTCTTTGTGTGTTTTGTGTTTAAATCAGTCCCCTGTGTGTGTTTCTTTGTGTGTTTTGTGTTTAAATCAGTCCCCTGTGTGAGTTTTTGTGTGTTTTGTGTTTAAATCAGTCCCCTGTGTGTGTTTCTTTGTGTGTTTTGTGTTTAAATCAGTCCCCTGTGTGAGTTTTTTTGTGTTTTGTGTTTAAATCAGTCTCCCTGTGTGAGTGTTTTTGTGTGTTTGTGTTTAAATCAGTCCCTGTGTGTGTTTCTTTGTGTGTTTTGTGTTTTTAAATCAGTCCCCTGTGTTGTTTTGTGTTTAAATCAGTCTCCCCTGTGTGTGTTTCTTTGTGTGTTTTGTGTTTAAATCAGTCTCCCTGTGTGTGTTTTGTGTTTAAATCAGTCCCCTGTGTGTGTTTCTTTGTGTGTTTTGTGTTTAAATCAGTCCCCTGTGTGTATTTCTTTGTGTGTTTTGTGTTTAAATCAGTCCCCTGTGTGTGTTTTGTGTTTAAATCAGTCCCCTGTGTGTTGTTTTAAAGTTTACTGTTTGAAATTCCTTTCTTGACGTATTGAATGAAATAATTTTGTGATATAGAACTTGGTGAGTTTTTTATGTGATAAGTCGTCATTCGGTTCGATCTTGTTACTCGTTATCTTTAATATATATTTTTTTATAATTTTTTTATATTTTTTTAACCTGTGTTATTGAGTTTTGGGTCTAATTTAGGTAGGTTAATTAGTTTTAGTTGAAATTTTAAAGGTTATATATATTAAATGCAATGTTGTAACCCTTTTTGTGTAATGAATTTTTAAATGTAATTAAATGTAATATATCTGTTATGCATGCAACAAGTTCGAATTGTCAAACAACTAATTTTGTTGTTTGTTTGTTTTTTTAGGCGATGGGTGACGTAAAATAAGCAGTTATTGTTCACCAAATGATATATCAACTGACACTCTAACTACCGATAGTTTCACCGTGTTCTGTTTTAATGATAACATAAACATGTTATCATGTTTTAATGATAACATGTTTGCCACTTTGTTGTTAACTGAGGCTAGAATTGATGATAAATGTTACTGATGATCCTAGTGAAACTGGAAGCCAGAGTTGGTAGTCGTCTTCAACTTGTCTGGTGCCTATCTCTGGTAACTGATTTATTTGGTGAGATTAGTACTAGTATTTAGTATGAGATTATGAGTAAATGTATGTAAATTATCTCTCTCTCTCTCTCTCTCTCTCTCTCTCTCTCTCTCTCTCTCTCTCTCTCTCTCTCTCTCTCTCTCTCTCTCTCTCTCTCTCTCTCTCTCTCCCCTAGTGTGTCAGGCGTCTCACTTTTCAGTAAGTTTTACATTTGTTTAATCATCTCTACCACCAAAGTATCTATTTTTGTTTACCTTTACTCTCAGTTAAAACCCTTCACATTGTTATATATTTGGCCAAATGTTTAATAACATATTTGTGTCATTTTTATGACGAGAAATTGATTTTAATGTTTTTTTTGTTGACCAGACCACACACAGTAGAAGGTGAAGGGACGACGTTTCGGTCCGTCCTGGACCATTTCTCAAGTCGATTGTGACAATGTTTTTTTTTTGTCTTGCTCTTGTACAGGAGGATCCGTGTGCGGCTGGGTGTACGGGAGCCTGGTGTTCATAGTGGCTCTGGCCGTCTATTGGAACGCTCTCAGTTGCAGCTTTGTGTTTGACGACATCTCTGCCATCAAGGAGAACCGAGACCTTCGTCCCCACACACCCGTCACTAACCTCTTCCTCCACGACTTCTGGGGCACGCCCATGCAAAAGGTCAGTGTCTGTAACACCTCTGAAAAAAAAGATTTACAGTTACATCCGGGTTCTCACGTGACAGTCACGAGTCTTCGTTGTCACGTGACAGTCACGAGTCTTCGTTGTCACGTGACAGTCACGAGTCTTCGTTGTCACGTGACAGTCACGAGTCTTCGTTCTCACGTGACAGTCACGAGTCTTCGTTGTCTCGTGACAGTCACGAGTCTTCGTTGTCACGTGACAGTCACGAGTCTTCGTTGTCTCGTGACAGTCACGAGTCTTTGTTGTCACGTGACAGTCACGAGTCTTCGTTCTCACGTGACAGTCACGAGTCTTCGTTGTCTCGTGACAGTCACGAGTCTTCGTTGTCACGTGACAGTCACGAGTCTTCGTTGTCACGTGACAGTCACGAGTCTTCGTTGTCACGTGACAGTCACGAGTCTTCGTTGTCACGTGACAGTCACGAGTCTTCGTTGCCACGTGACAGTCACGAGTCTTCGTTGTCACGTGACAGTCACGAGTCTTTGTTGTCACGTGACAGTCACGAGTCTTCGTTGTCACGTGACAGTCACGAGTCTTCGTTGTCACGTGACAGTCACGAGTCTTCGTTGTCACGTGACAGTCACGAGTCTTCGTTGTCACGTGACAGTCACGAGTCTTCGTTGTCACGTGACAGTCACGAGTCTTCGTTGTCACGTGACAGTCACGAGTCTTCGTTTGTCACGTGACAGTCACGAGTCTTCGTTGTCACGTGACAGTCACGAGTCTTCGTTGTCACGTGACAGTCACGAGTCTTCGTTGTCACGTGACAGTCACGAGTCTTCGTTGTCACGTGACAGTCACGAGTCTTCGTTGTCACGTGACAGTCACGAGTCTTCGTTGTCACGTGACAGTCACGAGTCTTCGTTGTCACGTGACAGTCACGAGTCTTCGTTGTCACGTGACAGTCACGAGTCTTCGTTGTCACGTGACAGTCACGAGTCTTCGTTGTCACGTGACAGTCACGAGTCTTCGTTGTCACGTGACAGTCACGAGTCTTCGTTGTCACGTGACAGTCACGAGTCGAGTCGTTGTCACGTGACAGTCACGAGTCTTCGTTGTCACGTGACAGTCACGAGTCTTCGTTGTCACGTGACAGTCACGAGTCTTCGTTGTCACGTGACAGTCACGAGTCTTCGTTGTCACGTGACAGTCACGAGTCTTCGTTGTCACGTGAGTCACGAGTCTTCGTTGTCACGTGACAGTCACGAGTCTTCGTTGTCACGTGACAGTCACGAGTCTTCGTTGTCACGTGACAGTCACGAGTCTTCGTTGTTTCGTTATGTTCCAATACCGACCGAGTATGTTGCCATGTTTCAGGGATACCAATCATGTGTTTACTCTGATATGTGTAAGTGTTTAATGGATGTGGTACAATAAAAAAAAACTGGAGTAAAAATTCGGGATAAGATTAGATTCAGGAAAGACCTGGGTAAATATTGGTTTGAAAATAGGGTTATATATGTTTGGAATCATTTGCTGGATAGCTTAATAAACGGGAAATGGCTGGGTTGTTTGGATGGATATAAATCGACGCCTTGTATGGGTCAATAGGCCTTTGCAATGTCCTTGTATGGGTCAATAGGCCTTTGCAATGTCCTTGTATGGGTCAATAGGCCTTTGCAATGTCCTTGTATGGGTCACTAGGCCTTTGCAATGTCCTTGTATGGGTCACTAGGCCTTTGCAATGTCCTTGTATGGGTCAATAGGCCTTTGCAATGTCCTTATAGGTCAATAGGCCTTTGCAATGTCCTTGTGTATGGGTCAATAGGCCTTTGCAATGTCCTGTATGGGTCAATAGGCCTTTGCAATGTCCTTGTATGGGTCAATAGGCCTTTGCAATGTCCTTGTGTATGGGTCAATAGGCCTTTGCAATGTCCTTGTGTATGGGTCAATAGGCCTTTGCAATGTCCTTGTATGAGTCAATAGGCCTTTGCAATGTCCTTGTATGGGTCAATAGGCCTTTGCAATGTCCTTGTATAGGTCAATAGGCCTTTGCAATGTCCTTGTATAGGTCAATAGGCCTTTGCAATGTCCTTGTATAGGTCAATAGACCTTTGCAATGTTCTTGTATGGGTCAATAGGCCTTTGCAATGTCCTTGTATAGGTCAATAGGCCTTCTGTACTGCTTGTATTCTTATGTTCTTAGCTGTTGAGAAGGTGTGTTAACAGGTGGTTAGCAATTTCGAGCACTTCCTGCTCGAAATTGCCCAGTTCTCCCCCTTGAAGATTTAAACCTCAGCCACGGCGATATTAGAAGATATAGAAAAGGTCTGATTGGATCTTATTTCCTCTACCTGTTATAAGTTCTTGCTGCAAGTTCCATCCCGTTATCTCTTATCTCATTCCCCTCCCCCCCTCTTTATCTCTCCCTGTGATGCTCATGTCTCACCCAGCCTGTCTTAATCACTTGGGCTGGACGGTAGAGCGACGGTCTCGCTTCATGCAGATCGGCGTTCAATCTCCCGACCGTCCACATGTAGCTGGCGACCATCCTCCCCCCCCCCCCCCCCTGTTCCATTTCAAATCCTTATCCTGATTCCTTCCAAGTGCTATACAGTCGTAGTGGCTTGGTGCTTTTCATACACACAGTCAGTAGCTCGCAGGACTCTTTACTGTATCATCCTGTGTGCTTGTGGCAGCCTCTGCATCCTCAGTGGGCGGGCTTAACTACCCTCAGTGGGCGGGCTTAACCACCTTCAGTGGGCGGCGGGCCGCAGTTCTCTCTGGGGGCGGCGCGCCCCACCACCCACCAAGACTACACCTTCCATCTAGCCGTTATTTACTGGTCTCTTTCACTCCCTCTTTTCATTTCCAAAGGATTTTCCCCCCAACGCGGCACCTCAATTGTCTCTTTTTGTGTACTTGTCCCATGTATCTCCGAGAGGTTCATCTTCCGTGTGTCCTCTCTCTCTCCCTTGTCTCTCTCTCTCTCTCTCTCTCTCTCTCTTCTCTCTCTCTCTCTCTCTCTCTCTCTCCTTGCTCTCTCTCTCTCTCTCTCCCCTCCTCCCTTGCTCTCTCTCCCCTCCTCCCTTGCTCTCTCTCCCCTCCTCTCTCTCTCCCTGCTCTCTCTCTCCCTCTCTCTCTCTCCCCCTCCTCCCTTGCTCTCTCTCCCCTCCTCCCTTGCTCTCTCTCCCCTCCTCCCTTGCTCTCTCTCCCCTCCTCCCTTGCTCTCTCTCCCCTCCTCCCTTGCTCTCTCTCCCCTCCTCCCTTGCTCTCTCTCCCTCCTCCCTTGCTCTCTCTCCCCTCCTCCCTTGCTCTCTCTCCCCTTGCCTCACTTAACCTACAAACGGATGTCTAAGGCACATTACTAGTTGATTCACTGATGGCCTTCAAAGGCTACCTTAAATATACCTAAACAGCCTCGTTGATCAAGGCAACTTTGCAACTTGTCAACAGGGTCTCGCCATCTTTTTCTCTTTTCCTGGTGGTTCTATCGTTCTTCTTTCATCTTTTCCTGGTGCTTCTTTCGCTCTTCTTTCATCTTTGCCTGATGCTTCTTTCGCTCTTCTTTCATCTTTGCCTGATGGCCTTCCTCTCTTCCTTCACTGCCTGGTGGCCTCTTCCTTCACTGCCTGGTGGCCTCTTCCTTCACTGCCTGGTGGCCTCTTCCTTCACTGCCTGGTGGCCTCTTCCTTCACTGCCTGGTGGCCTCTTCCTTCACTGCCTGGTGGCCTCTTCCTTCACTGCGCCTGGTGGCCTCTTCCTTCACTGTACCTGGTGGCCTCCCCCTCTTCCTTCACTGTGCCTGGTGGCCTCTTCCTTCACTGCGCCTGGTGGCCTCTTCCTTCACTGCGCCTGGTGGCCTCTTCCTTTACTGCGCCTTGGTGGCATCTTCCTTCTCTGTGCCTGGTGGCCTCTTCCTTCACTGTGCCTGGTGGCCTCTTCCTTCACTGTGCCTGGTGGCCTCTTCCTTCACTGTGCCCTGGTGGCCTCTTCCTTCACTGTGCCCTGGTGGCCTCTTCCTTAACTGTGCCTGGTGGCCTCTTCCTTCACTGCCTGGTGGCCTCTTCCTTAACTGTGCCTGGTGGCCTCTTCCTTCACTGCCTGGTGGCCTCTTCCTTCACTGTGCCTGGTGGCCTCTTCCTTCACTGTGCCTGGTGGCCTCTTCCTTCACTGTGCCTGGTGGCCTCTTCCTTCACTGTGCCTGGTGGCCTCTTCCTTCACTGTGCCTGGTGGCCTCTTCCTTCACTGTGCCCTGGTGGCCTCTTCCTTCACTGTGCCTGGTGGCCTCTTCCTTCACTGTGCCTGGTGGCCTTTTCCTTCACTGCCTGGTGGCCTCTTCCTTCACTGCCTGGTGGCCTCTTCCTTCACTGTGCCCTGGTGGCCTGTTCCTTCACTGCCTGGTGGCCTCTTCCTTCACTGTGCCTGGTGGCCTCTTCCTTCACTGTGCCTGGTGGCCTTTTCCTTCACTGCCTGGTGGCCTCTTCCTTCACTGTGCCTGGTGGCCTCTTCCTTCACTGCCTGGTGGCCTCTTCCTTCACTGTGCCTGGTGGCCTCTTCCTTCACTGCCTGGTGGCCTCTTCCTTCACTGCCTGGTGGCCTCCCTCGGGCCATCGTCGCCTCCCGCCATTGTTTTATAACGGTGGTCGCCTCTTTTACGTCCTCGTATATATGTGCTCTCACTCTCGTATTTTCTCTCTTATCGCCTTCCCCCATTCTTCCTGTTCCCTGCCTTGCCTCCCCTGTTATCTTCCTGGCCTTCCTGTTGCCTTACTGTTGCCTGCCTTGCCTCCCCTGTTATCTTCCTTGCCTCCCCTGTTATCTTCCTTGCCTCCCCTGTTATCTTCCTTGCCTCCCCTGTTATCTTCCTGGCCTTCCTGGCCTTCCTGTTGCCTTCCTTGCCTCCCCTGTTGCCTCCCTTGGCTTCCCTGTTGCCTCCCTTGCCTCCCCTGTTGCCTCCCCTGTTGCTTCCCTTGCCTCCCCTGTTGCTTCCCTTGCCTCCCCTGTTGCCTCCCTTGCCTCCCCCATAGTAGTAG